GCAGGCTTCAGAGAGAATAGATTATAAATGTTTCAAATCAGAGTCTGTTCTGTCAGTTGTAAGGTCTGTTTTAATGTTAATGCTCGTCAGCTGTGTCTGAATTCCAAAAGGGAGGTGGGAATAATGAGGCATGTCTGATTGTTGTGGGGCTTAGAATTTTATTTTTGGTTTACATACATAATGAAATATCTTGGAAAAGGGACCCAAATCTAAACAGGAAAGTTATTTATGTTTCATGTATTCCTTATACCCATAACCTGAAGGTAATTTTAGATCATATTTTTTAATTGTGTGTATGAAGCTAAGCTTGTGCACTTGAGACATCAGAAAACAAAGATATCAGGTGTGGAATTTTCTACTTGCAGCATCATGTGGGCACTCAAAAAGTTTCATATTTTGAAATGTTTTGGATTTTCAGATTAGGGATGCTCTACCTATAGGTATATTCGACATACCTCTGAAGCATTTCCTTTCGAGCATCATGCTTAGGGACTCTCACAAACACTAAAAGTTCTTTTTAACTATAGTAACTATTTTATTTTAGATAATAAAATAATCAGCACACGGCCCCTGGCAGTCTTCTCTTCAAACTGACCTTTTTATTCTTTAAACACTACCCGCTTCTCACAAGATGTTGTGTAGATCATCTTGACTCTTTTTTTCTCCAAATGTGGAACTGCCTATTCACCAAGTTTTGTTTGGTAGAAAATAGTGCTAACAACCAAAATCTGGGCATTCGATGTGTACTTCATATTGTTTCAATAAAATATTCAGAGTAGAATTCAGAGTGATGAAGGCAGAGCAAGAAAAAAATTTCTCCTTTTAAAAGGGCATGTATTTATGTTGGTAGTTCTAATTAACCTCTACCTTTATTTTCATCTCTTTAAACCAGTTTCCCTCTTTTCCTTTAGTTTCAACGTGCCTTGTTATATTAATAATGTGTTCAAATTACAGCTTTGGTCCTCCCTCCTGCACTCTCACCAAAGTTAAAAGGCTCTTCTTCTTTTGTAACTCTTAGTGCTAGTGCCCTGGTATTGCATTCAAAGTATGGAGGTTCTGACTGTCCCCCTCATCAGCATCATTTGCCCTTCAACTCTTTGAAAAGAAAAAGACATTGCAAAATTTTTCTAAAGGAATACTAAAGTATGCAATGCACACATACAGTTCCATAAACTTAGACAGTAGCATAAAGGGAACAAAGACAGATTCAGGGTTTTCTGGATTTAACCAAAACTCTCCTTTTGCTTTGCACTTTGATGGTAACAGTGTCATCATTTATCTTCTATCACAGCCAGCTTTAGTGTTGACATTTCATATACCATGTGTTCATTCACTACTGTAGCAGTCAACTTTTTAAAAGCCAATTTAAAATGTCAGAAAATATGCCCAAAGTAATGTTAAGAATCATAATCATAGATCTTTAAAATTTTAAAAACTTAAAGTATAATAATTTTTTTAGGTACATATTTTCATAACATTGTCTCATTCAGTAAGAGTCATTCTGTAAAAGACATCAAGACATTTGGATCATAGCATGTTTTCATTATAGTTTTTATATAGTTGTCTTACATGTAGATACCCTCCCATACATATTTACTGTTAAATTGCAGACATTCTTGATCAGTCTCTAGGGGTTTGCATTTTCACATGAGCATTGAGAATTTACTAGGTTTTAGCTACAAAGAGAAGGCTTGGTGACAATAATATAGTTTTATGGTGAATTAAAACATGTCAGCCTCCTAATCTTATATGCTATGATATTCATATTATCTCCATAGAAGGGAAAACCCCCACAAACTCACTTTTTTCTTGTGACTTGGTAAATAGGTTTCAATAAGATCACAGAATTGGCCTTCCATATCCAAGGGTTCCATATTCCTGGATTCAACTAACCATGGAGTGAAAATATTCAAAAATAATAAAATAAACAAAAATAATATAAATTTTTAAACAATATAGTATATTTACATAACATTTACTGTATGGTATTAAGCATTATATGTAATCCAGAGATGATTTAACATATATGGGAGGATGTGAGGAGGTTCTATGCAAACACTATGCCATTTTATATAAGAGGCTTGTATATTCTTAGATTTTGGTATCCTGAGTCCTGGAACCAATCCCCCCACAGATACTAGGGGATGGGTATGTTTTGCCAAAATCTTATCAGACTGATGAGGGATAATGCTTTTGTCTTTGACCCCAGCAAAGCCTGGAGCCATTATATCTTTTTTTGTTTGTTTTTCATTTGCTTTTTTCTTGTGGCTTTTTAGAGATGGCCTTCACCAAGTGCTAGAGCGTTACTTCTCAAACTATTCATAGTAAGAGAATAGCATTTTCCCCCAATCTTTTACCAATCAATATGTTGTGGCCTACTCCTATGACTAATGTTTATCTTTTTTTTTTTTTGAGACGGAGTCTCACTCTGTTGCCCAGGCTGTAGTATAGTGGTGCTATCTTGGCTCACCACAACCTCTGCCTCCCGGGTTCAAGCAATTCTCCTGCCTCAGCCTTCTGAGTAGCTGGAACTATAGGCGAGCACCACCATGCCCAGCTAATTTTTGTATTTTTAATAGAGACAGGGTTTTACTATGTTGGCCAGGCTGGTCTCAAACTCCTGATCTCATGATCTGCCCACCTCAGTCTCCCAAAGTGTTGTAATATGTATCTTGTACTACATGTGGCACACTGTAGGAGTTTGATAAACCCCAAGCTGTCCTATGCCATGTCCAGTGAGTTGAGATCACTGATCATGTTCTCAGATGTCATGGCCATGTCCAATTATTACAAGTTGTCGAACACTTAATCTCAATTTCTATACTTATAAGTTATTAACAATCTACAGACCATGAATTTAGTTGCACTGTAGTTGAGAGTCTCATTTTGTCTGTCTAGGCACACCTGCTTTTAGTCAGGAAAAGTAGCACTGCTTGAAGGCTCTGTATAATTCCCAGCTCCATTGGGAATGGGAGTTCTGATTGCCCTTTCCGAAAGAGTTGCCGAATTCTCACTCTTAGCCTTCTTTGAGTCTAGACAAGGCATGTTTCCTCTTTGGGGCTGGACTTCTCTGCACCTATATCTTCCTTTCTCTTTTTTCCTGTGATTGACTAAACTCATTTACTTACCTTCAAATTCATTAATTCTTCTATCTGCTCAAATATGTGTTATAATATGTGTTAAGCTCCTCTCATTAATTTTTTTATTTCAATTATTTTTAAATTCCAGTATTTTGATTTGGTTCTTTTTATAATTTTTATCTGTTTGTTGATTTGTCTTCATGCCTTCCTTTAGTTATTTAAACATCATTCCTTTTAGCTATTTGAACATGCATCCTAAATTCCTCTGTATTATTCATTCATCTGTGTGTGTCTGTTAATTCTGTCACATTTTCTCTAAAGCCACTGCCTTTGACTTAGCTCAGTCCACAGTAAACTCATATCTGGATTATCTAGATTACTGTAGAAACCTCCTAATCTCTTCAAATATTATTTCTCCAGTCTTTCTCTCCATTCCTCCTGGATTTTTAGTTACCTATATGCTAGACCTTTTTCATATATTTCTAATCTCTCTCACACTTTGTTTGCTTTGTCTTTTTTTTCTTCATATTTTAGTTACTGTATATTCTATTGATCTGTTATGCAGTTTACTAATCCCTGTCTCTTCTGTGTCCAGTCTGCAATTAAACCCACCCAATAAGTTCTTAGAGTTGTTAATTACAAATATTATATTTTAAAATTATTAAATATTTCTTTCTTCTTTAAATAGATTTTAGTTATGTCAAAATTTTTCTTTTTATAAATTGTTGTGCTTTTTAAAAAAATATATTGATGATAGTTATTTAAATTCCATGCCTAAGTAGTCTTTGGGGTTTTTTATTGTTTTTTTTTTTTTTTTTTTTTTTTTGTATGCATGACTTTTTTATTTTATAAGAGCCAGAAATTGATGAAAAGCTGTAGAAGTAGAAAGTTAAGATTTGTTCTGGCAGCCTGAGTGTCAGGTGCTCACTTGCTTCCGTTGAGGCTTGTTTTTAGTCTTTATGAATGCTCTTATATTTTTGTATCTTCATTCTACGATCTGGCCTTACTAGCTCTCAAATGACAGTCTGCAGTGCATAGTACTTGAACTTCAGTCTCTGTCTTCCCAATACTATGTTACGGCTGTGGTTTCAACCTGTCCATTCTCTTGACTTCTGGCTTTTGTAGAGCTGTTATTATATATATGTGCAGGTTAGGAGACAGCAAATTACTTGAAAGGAATTTGTATGGAGATTTTTCTCGTTTCCTGCAGTTTCCTTCTCTCCTATATTCTCACCGTGCATCCTGCTCTCTAATCTCAGTGCTTTGGCAGCCCATGCTTTGACTTCTGCTTTCCAACTCAGTATTCCTTCAGGATGCAATTTGGGGAAGTTTAGGTCAATCCACGTGGAGCTTGCTGTTTATGCTTCCTGCTTTCAAGGACCGTAACGCCTCACTTCTTGATTGGTGGTTGCTTCCCCCACCACATGCCTGTAAGCAGTAGTTTATATGTTTTCTCCAGCTTGTATAGCGAATTAGAACTTGATTTTTAATGTTGGTTTTGTAATTTAACTTATAAGCCGTTTTATTTTCCTTATGAACAAGTCTTTAAATTGAGAGGGGAGGTGGAGAGGGCCTCATTTACTGCTGATTATATATCTCAATTATAAGATAAATATTCATCTCTCTTAAGTGGTTCATGTAGAGTAGTTTTCATATAATTTTATGTTGCAATATGAAAAACATGAGTAAAAGGAATTGTTTTTGAGAGAAGGCTTAATGTAAAAGACTACGCAAGTATAAAATTTTTGCACATAATATAATTTCTTAATTTAGAGAATATTAAACTAGCTTCTGTATTTAATCAGAAGTATAGAAAATTCTATGTATATTTTTATTTGTCACTTGATATAGTAAAAATCTGGCTTTGAAAATGATTTCAGTGTTAATAGAGCTTTCACAAATGTCTGGATTCTTTTCTAGTGGATTAATGACTTAGAAAATGATGATTTATATATTACTTGGCCTACAAGTTTCCATGAACTTCTGAAGCCAGTATTTCCTGGAAGTATACCTTCCATAAGGCGCAATTTTCATAATTTGGTGAGTTTTATATTTTGATTATGTATCTTATAAAGATATCAACATTTTTTGTATTATCCTGTCAATGAATAGGCATCGGAGTTATAAGGAAATAAGTATTTGCCTGATGCAGCAGGCTTAGGTGGCATGGCTGACTGGGTGTCAACAACTAGCAATGTCACTGTATTAGTTTGTTCTCATGCTGCTAAGAAAGACATAGCCAGGACTGGGTAATTTATAAAGGAAAGTGGTTTAATTGACTCTCCAGCATGGCTGGGAGGCCTCAGGAAACTTAAGTCATGGCAGAAGGAGAAGCAAACATGCTTCTTCACATGATGGCAAGAAGGTGATAAAGAGAACTCACTCATATCACAAGAACAGCATGAGGGTAACTGCCTCCATGATTTAACTACCTCCCACCTGGTCCATCCTGTGACACATGCAGATTATGGGGACTACAATTCAAGATGAGATTTGGGTGGGCACACAGCCAAACCATATCAGTCACATGTTCTGCCTCTTACTCTTCAGCCCTTATGTCATTTTATAATAACAGTATTAATGTTATTTTTACATTTTTCTCAAAAGAATTTATGAGAGAACTTTTTTTCTTTATTATAAAGGACTGATGATTAAAGTGTAGTAATTTCAGGGAAAGATATAAATACCATCTATGCATATAATTTTATCATATATATATTGTCATCTATGCATATAATTTTATTATCCCAATAATATCTAAGCATTCATATTGGAGCTTTGAAAGGTGGAGAAAATACCTAGGGCTTTTTTTTCACATAGGAAATGAATAAGTTATTTTTTGCAGCAGTCTTGATAAAGCAGTTGTGTTAATGCTATTTTTTTTTCAGTCAAAATTCAACTTCTGTTTCCTTTTGAAAAAATTTATCACAGAAAATCCAATGAACATTTAGAATAAGGTATTTCAATTCAGGTGAAAGAAAGTATACTGGGCTTCCAAAAAGAAGATGAGTAGCCTGATGTTAAATTCTGTGTATAATTATATTTGGTTGTGCAGCTTTTAGAAATCCTTCATAAATTGTGAAATCTTTTATATGTGTGTTTGTGTGTGTGTGTGTATATATATATATATATTCCTTAGAATTACTAGAATTTTTAAAAAATGATTCATTGAATTTCATACTTTGAGTCACAAAAATTAGTCTGAACTTGAATTTCATGAAGATTCTAAGGTGTTGAAATAGTGATTATATACTATCTTTCTTTTAGGTTCTGTTTATTGATCCGGCCCAAGAATATTCCTTGGATTTTATAAAACTTGCTGATCTTTTATATTATCATAAAGTTCCTCTTAGGTAATTGTCATTTTATAGCATTAAATTGTCAACTAAAGGAAATTCAATGTTGTTCATATTGTGTTACACAGAGTATTAATAGGGCATTCAAACATTCAAAGCAATGGTTAGCTCTAGTACCTGACATAACATAGCTGCATGTTGTGAAGTATTAAATACCTTTATGATGGACTCTGTTTATCAAATCTGTCTGGTAATTTTGTTTATTACCATCCTGAGAGAATAATCTGTCACTCTGGAAACTTATAGAAAGGTCCATCATCCTATGCTTGCAATCCCAGCACTTTGGGAGGCCTAGGTGGGTGGATCATGAGGTCACAGGTTCAAGACCAGCCTGGCCAACATGGTGAAACCTGGTCTCTACTAAAAATACAAAAATTAGCCAAGCGTAGTGGCACACACTTTAGTCCCAGCTACCTGGGAGGCTGAGATGGGAGAATCACTTGAACATGGGAAGCAGAGGTTGCAGCAAGCTGAGATTGAGCCACTGCACTCCAGCCTGGGCAACAGAGCAAGACTCTGTCTCCAAAAAAAAAAAAAAAAAAAGTACATTTACCTTTTTTGCACAGAGCAAAAGAACATGGTCATTTGATAATGTTACCACCAGAGGGAGAGAGTTTGATATTATCTTAGAATCTTATCTTAGATTTCTACTGCAGGAGTCCAGTAGCAATGTGGATTTTGGCAAATAAGCATTACAATCAATATTTTGAAGTAATAAAATTATTCTTTTCCCATCTATTAATACATTCTGTCCATCTGGTTATTGTAGTCTAATAATGTTTCTACATAATGGTTTATTGTAATTTAAGAGATAATTGTAACAGTCTTTACACATTTTCTTTTTCCAGAATCGGTTTTGTGTTCATTCTTAATACAGATGATGAAGTTGATGGAGCAAATGATGCCGGAGTTGCTCTTTGGCGAGCTTTCAACTACATTGCAGAAGAATATGATATATCAGAAGCATTTGCTTCTATAGTACATGTGAGTTTATCCACTAAATATGATTTCTTTAGAATGTATAATTTTTGCATTGCTATATTTATTATGATTTCTTTAGAATGTATAATTTTTGCATCATATTTATTGTAACATTTCAAAGTTTATAGTCTATCATAGAGATTAATACAGATGATGAATTTGTTTTCTGTAACTCCCTGCTGAAGTACATAATATTATCCTCACATTATAAATTAGGCAACTGAGGTTCTGCGAAAATATTTGAATTTACTAAGGTTTACTCAGCCAATAAAGGGATTTAAATTGTATATGTAAGTTTAGAGGAAAACATATTAATAGAAAATGATTATTTAGGGAGGAATTCTTGAATTAGGCTTTGAATAAAGAGATCATTGCAGGCTGGGCACAGTGGCTCATGCCTATAATCCCAGCATTTCAGGAGGCTGAGGCAGGAAGATTGTTTGAGACCAAGAGTGCGAGACTAGCCTGGGCAACACGGTGAGACCCTGGCCCTACCAAAAACAGAAACCAGGTGCAGTGGCACATGCCTGTAGTCCTAGTTACTCAGGAGATTGAGATGGGAGGATCATTTGGGCCCAGAAGGTCAAAGCTGCAATGAGCCAAGATTGAGCCACTGCACTCCTGCCCAGGCCCTGTCTCCTGGGGGGCGAAAAAAGTCATTGAGGAGCTAAATATTCTGGATGACAAAGTGTATAGACACTTCCTAGAGAGTTTCAAAGAAGGGGGAAGTCACTTACTGACAGCATACTGTGAAAGAGGCAATATTGATAGAGTCTGACAAAGAGATTGTATAAGAGATGTTAGAAATTGGTAAGAACCTGATTAAGGAAGAACAAGAGATAGTAAGATTATTTCATAATTGAGGTTTTAAAATTCTGTTGTAGCTCATTGTAGAAATATATATGTATTAAAGAGCTATATTATTATTACAAAATACCAAGTCGTAACTTATAAAATAACTTCCATCATTTTTTATATTCATTGAGCTTTAGCTTGTCAATCAATATTTTACAAGAAATGACTCTTCTGAGAAAGGAATTTCCAAAGTAGTGCAAATTTCCTACCATACTTTTGTAGATCCCAGGAAAATCATTAAATACCTTATTAATTCATTAAACTAGAGTATAGAAACTACACTTCAGTGATTTGGGGGCTATAGTTTGCTCTGTAAAATACTGCCATGGAATATATGTCAATATTAAGTCTCAGCTTATTATTTTACTAATTTACTGGTGTCAGAGTTTATAAAGGACTTAGTCAATTTGAGATTCACCCATTTTATTGTAAAGGATCATTATGATATTCAAAACTTATAAACCTAAAGATATTCAGAAATTATCTTTACCTAAGTTGTCTTAATTATCAGTATTGAATCTGTTTTATAAGTGTTTTGTATCAGACATTAATTTACATGTGATAGAATAATCTACAGTGTTCAGCACAATGCTATTAATGTGTAATCGCTAAAAAAACAAATTATATTTGAAACCATAGGGTTTAATACAAAGCAGCATAAAAGTAAGTATTAAATATGTGGCACAGCCTGTAAGTTGTGCTAAACAATTAGAATGAGAGGGAGAAGGAGAAATAATTTGAACAAGATACAGTTTTTAGGAAAATAGATGAATTATAAATTCTTTTTAAAGTGTTTCTCTGTTTCCAGTGAGCTAATTGCTTTATCTCAATTAAGTAATTTGAGGATATTTAGTACTATAGAGAAGAGGGATATAAGACCAAAATAATAAAATACGTGAAAGTTACTGAAATGTGATAATAAACAGCAAATAGTAAAAGTTAACCCAGCCATATCTGTGGCCATATTAAATGTAAGTAAATTAAACTTTAGCATAATAAAAGATAGCAAAAGACAGAAAATTATACACAAGGTGACTATTTCACAAATGAAATCTAAATTGGCCATAAAATATTAGGGGAAATGAGCTTTAGGAAAAAGTACTAAAGTGTATATAGCTTCAAATTATACAATACAAAATTTGATAGCCAGGGAGATAAATGGACAGCACTACTGTAATAGTAGGTTATTTCAACATTTCTCTATTAATAGGTGAAGTAGATTAAAAAATCAGTAAAGATATATATAAGATCTTAACAATACAGTTTACAAGATTAATATTTAAAGGCAAATATAAAATCCATCAATCAGAGAATGAGATAATTTTGCAATCAAAACAGAAGAGGAAAATATGTCTTTTAATTAGAAAAGAAGGACTTAAAAATACTGATTAACCATTCAGAAGTGAGTAACTCATTTTAAAAAGTAGATGGAAAGCAATAAAATAAGAATACACATTAATGAACTAGGAAATGAAAATATAATTATAGGATCAAGAATATCAAAGTTGATATTCTGGAAAGACAAATAAAATTTACAAACCATATAGAGATCTAATCTGGAACCTAGTTCCAGATGAGCACACCGGTAATAGGAGATAGAAACTTCCAGCTTTTTAACGCCTGGGCTCAGAGGTTGGTACATCATTACTTTCAGATTATTCCATTATATTCAGTTTACCAAATAGTCACAGATTCAGATTCATATACCCACCTCTCAAGGGAAGGAGTGTTGAAGAATTTGGAGACCATATTTTAAGACTAGTACAGCAAATTCTAACAAATAGTCAATATTTAAAGAAACAATAATTTCAATCTTCAAAATCTTTTAGAGAATAGAAAAAGAGGAAACATTTTCTAAATCAGTCTTTGAATCTAGTATAATCTGATGTCAAAGCCTGATAAAAAGAGAAAAGGAAAAGTTATAGGCTGTTCTTTGTTGGGAATATGTATGCCAAAGTCCTAAATAAAATGTTAACAAAAGAAATCTAGCAGGTATATAAAAAATAAACTGTCATGACAAGGCGAGATTATCTAATGAATGAAAAGAAAGTATTTGAACATTTGAGGAATCTCTAAATATAATTCACCATGTTAATATATTATCATTCAAGAAAATGCATAAGAAACATTTGAAAAAAATTCAAAGCTTTTTTATGATTAAAAACTTATAAAGAAACAAATAGTTTAGCAAACTATTATATAGGGAAATTTTATTAATTGATGACATGACATCTTAGCAGTAAGATGACAGAAAGCATTGTTTTTAAAATTGGAAAAAGATAAAGTACCCGCTGTCAACACTTCAAGTATTATCCTCAAGTTCCAGTCAGTGCAATAAGATAAGTAAAGGAAATACTCATTTAAAATATTAAACAAATTATTATTTAAGATTCTAGAGTTTCCTACAGAGGAGACTTGAAAGCATCCATTGATTGTTAGATTTGATAAAGGAGGTTAGTAAAGTAACTGGATATGAGATCAGTATACTAAAATCAGTTGCTTTTCTCTCTTCTAACAACAAATACTTATTATTTACTTTTATCATCAGTTATATTAAGTGCCTACTACATACCACACCCTGTTTTAGGTGCTCGGATAAAGTAATAACATATATAGGCAATAATCCTTATCATGAGAGTACTTTCTATAATGATTCCCACATTTACAATGACAAGAACAAATAAAAGATACTTAGGAATAATGGGGAGGGGGGTGGAAGGTCTGTTTCGTGGAGAAAATTTTGAATTATAGCCATTAAAGTTCACCTAAATGAATGAAAAACTCATGTTTATCGGTAGAAATATAATTAAGAAATACTTCATAATTATATTGTTTTCTGCAAGTGATTTATAAATTCAATGCAGTTCCAACCAAAGATGAATGTTGGGGATTTTTTTGCGAAATTTGATGTTTATTTTAAAATGTATGTGGAAGAATGAAGACTCAAAATGGGTGAGACTTTGAAGAATAAAGTGATGGGACTTGCCATACCAGGTAATAAGATGTATAAAGTTCGTAGTGTTCATTCAAGGGAAAGACATACCTATCAAAAGAACATGGGGGTCCCAAAACTTAAGAATACAGAAGTGACATTACAGTAAATGGGAGAGACTTTCAACAACTACGGTTCGACAGGGGCTATACCAATGCAAATAAATAAGACCTCCCACCTTGTGTAAAAATCATTTCAGTTAGCTTAAAAATGTAAGTCTGGAAATCAAAACTTTTAAAACATTTAGCAGTTAGCACCCCAGGGTAAGGGCTTCCTAGATAAAAAGCTCTAAGTCTGAAGGAAAATACTGATAGTTTCAGCTAAATTACAAATGAAAACTAGTGCTCATTAAAATATGTCATTAAAAAGTAGGGGAAAATGTTACAAGCAAGAGAAGTATTTACAATACATATGGCCAATAAAATATTTATATTCCATGAGATGTAAAGATTTCCTACAATTCAAATAGAAAAACACAAATGACCCAAGAGGAAAAATGCATAAAAGAGTTTTTAAATAGAAGATGCCTTCATGATAAGTAAAAATTTACTGAAATTATTGGTGGTAAATATTTGTTACCATTAATGGTAACTAAACAAGATAATTATCCTACAAATTTGAAAATGCAATAAAGACTACTACCACGAGATTATTTTATACACTGTAATTTGACAATAATTAAGAAAGCTGAAGGTATCACATGTTAATGAGAATGTAGAGCAATGGAATGCCTTTACATTGTTACCCTGCCTGTAGGAATCTAAATTGGCAGAGCCACATTGAAAAACAATCTGATAATAATTTATATTTTGAAGTTAAATTTCCATATTCCCTGTACACACACACACACAACACACACACACACGCGCACACACACACACACACCCTAAGAGAAGCTTTTGTACCTGCACCTTAGAAGGCTATTATTAGCAGAATCATTCAGAATAGCAACAAACTATAATTAAAATGACCCAAATATATATCAGTAGCAAAACAGATTAGTAGCATTTGGCATATTAATAGAATGAAATATCATATGCATGAGCATGGATGTATTAGAAACATAATGAAGTCACAGAAGACTAACACCATACCATATACTTTTAAAGCTCAGAAGCAAACAAAACTAAGTATGGGAATACTTACTCACATAAAACTCTAGAATTTAAAAAGGAAAGGGAATGATAAATGCAAATTCAAAACAATGCTTGCATCTTGAGGCACAAGGAAATGGGATAGGGAGAGAAGTTGTACTTCATGGTATTGGTGCTGTTCCATTTCTAATGTTACCTGATTTATTCATAGAAATTGCTTATTTTATTATTTATGCCTCATAATGTGTATGTTATGTGTATTCCTTTTTGCTTACCAAGTTATAAAAGAATTTTTAAAATTTAAAAATGTGTAAGAGGATTGAGTTGATATTTCTGAGTACCTTATTCAAGGCATTATAACTACCTTATTTCATAGGAATATTTAATATTTTCAAGTGACTAGTAAAATGACTAATCTGAATGACTTTTCATATATCTTTTGCTTTATTCAAAATCTCATTTTTGCAATTTCCATCTGTTTTACAAAAGACTGAACTTTTCACTTTTTTTGAGTTATGATCATACTATGTTCTACTTTCATAGGAGGGGAAAACTTGCCCCTAAATTGAAAAACCCGTAAAATGAAACTCTTCAGTCTAATTACATACCTGTGCTGCTTCTTAAAGGAATAGGTTACAGAGTTTACAATGATACAGGGAGAGTAAAGAATACTAATTTCTTACTATGAGGACTTTAAAGTGAGGATCGTTTTAGCCACAATATGAAGGTTATGTTTGGCAATAATGATTTAAGTGAACTGGGACTAAAAATAATATTCTTAAGTGCTGTATCAAATGCTGCCTACTAGTGTTTCTACTTACTACTTGTTCCTCCTGCTTGTAAGTTTCTTACCCCAGAATGCCTTAATGCTAGCTCAGCATTCATATTTATGTCTCAGCTTCGTTGTCTACTCAGAGATGCCATCTCTCTTGATGCAAAGCCTAAAACAGCACCTGGGTCATAGTAGAGGATCTCTAAGTACTTATTAAAGAGAGAAGTGAAAAAAGATAAAAAGAGTAACAGCTTACATTCTACAAGTGGGTTTAGAACATCTGCGACTGGGGAAGAGTAGAGGTGCAGAGAAAGTCCAGTCAAAATACTTACTAGTAAAACCTGGCATGGTGGCTCATGCCTGTAATCCCAGCACTTTGGGAGGCTGAGGCAGGTGGATCGCTTGACCCAGGAGTTCAAGACTGACCTGAGCAACATGACAAGACCCCATCTTTACCAATAATGCAAAAAACTTTAACCAGGTGTGGTGGCTACTTCCTGTAGTCCCAGCTACCCAGAGGGCTAGATGATGAAAGGATTGCTTGAGCTGGGAGGTTGAGGCTGCAGTGAGCCATGATCACACCACTGCACTCCAGCCTGGATGATGGTGAGACCCTGTCTCAAAAAAAAAAAAAAAAAAAAATTACAGAAGAGCAATAAAAATGAAAGTATTTCTGAAAGGCCATATTAGAATAAATTACACATATGTTTAAAAAGGTAACCATTATTATTTTTTTAATTTTTTATTTTACTTTAAGTTCTGGGGTACACATGCAGATCTTGCAGGATTGTTACATAGGTACACACATGCCATGGTGGTTTGCTGCTTCCATGTCCCCGTCACCTACATTAGGTATTTCTCCTAATGTTATCCCTCCCCAGTCTCCACACTCCCTGCTGTCCCTCCCCGAGACCCCCACCCCCAACACACTCCAGTGTGTGATGTTCCCCTCCCTGTGTCCATGTGTTCTCATTGTTCAACGCCCTCTTATGAGTGAGAACATGTGATGTTTGGTTTTCTGTTCTTGTGTCAGTTTGCTAAGAATGATGGTTTCCAGATTCATCCATGTCCCTGCAAAGGACATGAACTAATCCTTTTTTATGGTTGCATAGTATTCCATGGTGTATATGTACCACATTTTCTTTATCCAGTCTCTCACTGATGGGCATTTGGGTTAGTTCCAAGTCTTTGCTCTTGTAAACAGTGCCACATGAACATACATGTGTATGTCTCTTTATAATAGATTTTTTTATAACCCTTTGGGTATATACCCAGTAATGAGATTGCTGGGTCAAATGGTATTTCTATTTCTAGATCCTTGAGAAATTGCCACACTGTCTTCCACAATGATTGAACTAATTTACATTCCCACCAACAGTGTAAAAGTGTTCCTATTTCTCCACATCCTCTTCAGCATCTATTGTCTCCAGATTTTTTAAGATCACCATTCTAACTGTCATGAGATGGTATCTCAATGTGGTTTTGATTTGCATTTCTCTAATGGCCAATGATGATGAGCATTTTTTCATGTTTTTTGGCTAATAAATGTTTTCTTTTGAAAAGTGTCTGTTCATATCCTTCGCCCACTTTTTGATGGAGTTTTTTTCTTGTATATTTGTTTTAGTTCTTTGTAAATTCTGGATATTAGCCCTTTGTCAGATGAGTATCTTGTAAAAATTTTTTCCCATTCTTTTGGTTGCTGGTTCACTCTAAAGATTGTTTCCTTTGCTGTGCAGAAGGTCTTAAGTTTGGTGTCTGGTTTCATCAAAATAGAATAAAACATAAATTCCTTATGATATTTTTGAAAACTGTAGAATATTTTAAAACCATCTTTATTAAAAGATGATTTATGGTTAAAATTATTTGTATGTGGTATATGTGTATATGTAGTTAGCATGTTTTAAACTTATAAGAATCTGCATGCTAAGGAAAAGAAAACTAATTGCTGTAAGAGTGAAATTAATTATAATAACTAAATTTTCACAGGTGTACAAAAAAGTGAAGGATAAAAATATACTCACTGTGGACAATGTGAGGAGTGTTCTCCAAAATAAATTTCCTCAGGCCAATATTTGGGATATTTTGGGAATTCATTCTAAATACGATGAAGAAAGAAAGGTAAGTAGGAACATTATGTTAAGTAGGCCAGGCACAGAAAGACAAATACCACATAGTCTCTACCCATGTGGAATCTTAAAAAGTCAGACTGACAGAAACAGAGTAAAATGGTGGTTACCAGAGGCTGGGGATGGCGGAATTGGGAAGATGTTGGTCAAAGGATACAAAATTTCAGTTAGACTAGAGAAATAAGTTCAAGAGATCTATTGTACATCACGATGACTGTAGTTAATGACAATATATTGTATACTTGTAAATTACTAAGAAAGTACATTTTAGGGATTCTTACCACAAAAGTATGAGAAAGTATGTGAGGTAATGCATGTGATAATTAGCTTCATTAGCTATTCCACAATGTGTATGAATATAAAAATATGTCTTATATCATAAATATAATTTTTATTTGTCGATTTTTTAAAAAGGTAAACAGACTCAACCCAGAAAATTCAGAAGGAGCCAAAAAAGGACTGTAAGGTGGATGCCTAAAATTACCCTTGTTTGTTGAGAGGAATGAGCAGGAGTATTGTCATGGTAGAAAAAGACTTTCTGGTGAAGTTTNAAAAAAAAAAAAAAAAAAAAAAAAAAAAAAGCGGGGGGGCAACAACTGAAAGAAATTGTCAGAGAAAGAGAAATAGTACAAAGAAATTCCAAAAATTAATAGATATGAGCCTTCATTCGAAGGGACTCATCAAATACGCAACACACTGAATGAAAGAAGAATGGTTTGGAGCATGGGGATAAGGAATACTTTTCTGAAGAAGTGATATTTAAGCTAAGTCCTGAAGCAGGAGGAGGAGTTAGACAAAAGAAAACAAGGGGGTTTTAAAAGATTAACATTCCAGTCAGAGAAAAATGTTGAAGTCTGAGATGTAAAGGAATTGAGAGAAGGCAATGTTGTTACTGTGTAGATTGAAAGCATATGTTGTGTCTATATTAATGGGGTACAGTTAAGGAGACAAGACTGGAGAGGCAAGCAAAGGGTCTGATTACACAGGGTCTTGTGAACAATATTTAATGTACTCATATCAGTGGAAGCTCTTGGCAACAGTGAAAAACATAAAAGGCATTAAGTAATGAAGTGACAGTGACATGCATTTTTTTTTGAAGAGCATTCTTTGTTGTTGAGAATGGATTGTTGGTGGGGAAGAGTAGGTGTGGTGACATGTATTAGGAAATACAAAGTGAGAGATGTGACATGGGGTAGCAGGCTTTTGAAAGAAGTAGAAGCAGAGAAAATAGACATATTTGAATTATTTAGGAGGTACAATCCAGGTGCTGCTGGATTGAATAGGGTAGAGGGGAGAAGGGAAATTGTCAAGGGTAATTCCCAGGGTTCAGCTGAACAACTAACTCGTAGAGTCAATGCCAGGAAGGAAAGTAGTGGAAGAGAAAAGGATTGGGAAATAAGATCAGAAGTGTAATTTTCCACATAGAGGATTTGAGTTGCCTGTGCAACTTCCAAGGGAGATGTGAAATCAGCAATTGGATATATGACCCATAGCTCAGAAGATGTGTGAGCTAAAAATATAAAATGCAGTATTATTGGCTTATTTGTGGTAATTAGCTTTTGGATTGGAAAGGTTGCCTAATTAGAAGTCATAGAGTAAGAGCAGAAGAGTACCTGTATTTATAGGAGAGACATCTTTCTTGAGTTCCAAACCCATGTATTCACCTGCTTAGTGAAATTCCCATAAGCATCTTAAATCGAAAGAATCTAAAACCATGCCCATGATCTTCCTTGTTGCTCCAAACATTTTTTTTCTTCTTTAGTCCCTATTCTAGAGGGTAGATAGCAACCATTCACCCAAACCACCCATGCTGAAAGCCTAATAGTCATCTTTAAGTAATTATTTTCCTCACACTCTCCCAAAAAATTGGTCATCAAGTTCTGTCACTTTTACTTGTGACTGCCTCGTCAAGTGGGTCGCAGACCCCTGTGCCTCCTGACTGGGAGACATTTCCCAGCAGAGGGTGACAGACACTTCATACAGAAGAGCTCCTCTTGGCAGCTGACTTGTGTCCCTCTGGCAGGAATCTTCCAGTGGAAGAAACAGGTACCAATCTTTGCTGTTCTGCAGCCTGCATTAATGATACCCAGGCAAACAGGGTCTGGAGTGGACCTCCAGCAAACTCCAGCATAACTGCAGCTGAGGGGCCTGACTGTTAGAAGGAAAACTAACAAACAGAAAGCAGTAGCATTAACATCAACAAAAAGGATGTCCACACAGAAACCCCAACCAAAGGTCACCAACATCAAGGACCAAAGGTAGGATATATCCACGAAGATGAGGAAAAACCAGCACAGAAAGACTGAAAATTACAAAAACCAGAATGCCCTTCCTCCTCCAAAGGATCACAGCTCCTCACCAGCAAGGAACAAAACTGGATGGAGAATGAGTTTGATGAATTGACAGAAGTAGGCTTCAGAAGGTGGGTAATAACAAACTCTTGCAAGCAAAAGGAGCACATTCTAACTCAATGCAAGGAAGCTAAGAACCTTGAAAAAAAGAGGAATTGCTAACTAGAATAACCAGCTTAGAGAAGAACATAAGTGACATGATGGAGCTGAAAAACAGCACGAGAACTTTGTGAAGCATACACAAGTATCAATAGCAGAATCAATCAACAGAAGAAAGAATATCAGAGATGGAAGGTCAACTTAATGAGATGCATAAAGACAAGATTAGAGAAAAAAGAATGAAAAGGAACGAGCAAAGCCTCCAAGAAATATGGGGCTATGTGAAAAGACCAAACGTTTCATTGCTATACCTGAAAGTGATAGGAAGAGTGGAACCAAGTTGAAAAACACTCCTCAGAATATCCTGGAGAACTTCCCCAACCTAGCAAGGCAGGCCAACATTCAAATTTTGGAAATACGGAGAACACCACAAAGATGGTCCTCGAGAAGACCAACCCCAAGACACATAATCATTGAATCACCAAGTCTAAAATGAAGAAAAAAATGTTAAGGGCAGCCAGAGAGAGATCAGGTTACCCACAAAGGGAAGCTCATCATACTAACAGCAGATCTCTCTGCAGAAACCCTACACGTCAGAAGAGAGCGGGGGCCAATGTTCAACATCCTTAAAGAAAAGAATTTTCAACCCACTATTTCATATCCAGCCAACTAAGCTTCAGAAGTGAAGGAGAAATAAAATCCTTTACAGACAAGGAAATGCTGAGAGATTGTGTCTCCACCAGGCCTGCCTTACAAGAGCTCCTGAAGGAAGCACCAAATATGGAAAGGAAAAACCAGCACCAGCCACTGCAAAAACATACCAAATTATAAAGACCATCAACAATACAATATGAAGAAATTGCATCAACAGGCAAAATAACCAGCTAGCATCATAATGACAGGATCAAATTCACGTACAACAATAGTAACCTTAAATATAAATGGGCTAAATGCCTCAATTAAAAGACACAGGCTGGCAAATTGGATAAAGAGTCAAGACCCATTGATGTGCTACATTCAGAAGACCTGTCTCACGTGCAAAGACACACATAGGCTCAAAATAAAGGGATGGAGGAGTATTTACCAAGCAAATAGAAACCAGAAAAAAAGCAGAGGTTGCAGTCCTAGTCTCTGATAAAACAGACATTAAACCAACAAACATAAAAAAAGACAAAGAAGGGCATTACATAATGTTAAAGGAATTACTGCAACAAGAAGATCTAGCTACCCTAAATATATATGCACCCAGTACAGGAGCACCCAGATTCATAAAGCAAGTCCTTAGAGACCTATAAAGAGACAGTCTCCCACACAATAATAGTGGGAGACTTAACACCCCACTGTCAATATTAGATACATCAACAAGACAGAAAATTAACAAGAATATTCAGGACTTGAACTCAGCTCTGGACCAAGCAGACTTAATAGACATCTACAGAACTCTTCACCCCAAATCAACAGAATATAAATTCTTCTTAGCACCACATAGCACTTATTCTAAAATTGACCACATAATTGAAAGTAAAATGCTCCTCAGCAAATGCAAAAGAATGGAAATCAAAACAAGCAGTCTCTCAGACCACAGTGCAATCAAATTAGAACTCAGGATTAAGAAACTCACTCAAAACTGTGCAACTACATGGAAACTGAACAATCTGCACCTGAATGACTACTGGGTAAATAACAAAATTAAGGCAGAAATAAAGAAGTTCTTTGAAACCAATGAGAACAAAGACATAATGTACCAGAACCTCTGGGACACAGCTAAAGCCGTGTTTAGTGGAAAATTTATAGCACTAAATGTCCACAGGGGAAAGCAGGAAAGATCTAAAATCAACATCCTAACATTACAGTTAAAAGAAATATAGCAGCAAGAGCAAACAATTTCAAAAGCCAGCAGAAGATAAGAAATAACTAAGATTACAGCAAAACTGAAGGAGATAGAGACACAAAAAACCCTTCAAAAAAATCAGTGACTCCAGGAGCTGTTTTTTTTGAGAAGATTAACAAACTAGATAGGCCATGAGCCAGACTAATAAAAGAGAAGAATCAAATAGACACAGTAAAAAAAAATGATAAAGGGGATATCATCACTGATCCCCCAGAAATAGAAACTACCATCAGAGAATACTATAAAAACCTCTACACAAATAGAAAATCTAGAAGAAATGAATAAATTCCTGGACAGATACACCCTTTCAAGACTAAACCAGTAAGTCATATCTATGAATAGACTGAGAACAAGTTCTGAAATTGAGTCAGTAATTAGTAACCTACTAACCAAAAAGAGCCCAGGACCAGACAGATTCACAACTAAGTTCTACCAGAGAAACAAAGAGGAACTGATACCATTCCTTTGAAAACTACTCCAAACAATAGAAAAAGGGGGACTCCTACCTAATTCATTTTATGAGGCCAGCATTATCCTGATACCAAAGCATGGTGGACACACAGACACACACAAAGAAAATTTTAGGCCAATATCCCTGATGAACATTGATGCGAAAATCTTCAATAAAATACTGGCAAACCGAATCCAGCAGCACATCAAAAGCCTTGTCCACCACGATCAAGTCAGCTTCATCCCTGGGATGCAAGGCTGGTTCAACATATGTAAATCAATAAATGTAATCCATCACATAAACAGAACCAATGACAAAAACCACATGATTGTCTCAATAGATGCAGAAAAGGCCTTCAATAAAATTCAACACCCCTTCATGCTAAAAGCTCTCAATAAACTAGGTATTAAAGGAACGTATCTCAAAATAATAAGAGCTATTTATGACAAACCCACAGCCAATATCATACTGAATGGGCAAAAAGTGGAAGTACTCCTTTTGAAAACTGGCACAAGAAAAGGATACTATCTCTCACCACTCCTATTCAACATAGTATTGGAAATTCTGGCCAGGATGATCAGGCAAGATAATGAAATAAAGAGTATTCAAATAGGAAGATAGGAAGTTAACTAGTCTCTGTTTGCAGTTGAGCTGATTGTATATTTGGAAAACCCCATCTCAGCCCAAAATCTTCTTAAGCTAATAAGCAACTTCAGCAAAGTCTCAGGATACAAAATCAATGGCAAAAATCACAAGCATTTCTATACACCAATAATAGACAGTGAGCCAAATCATGAGTGAACTCCCATTCACAATTCCTACAAAGAGAATAAAATACCTAGGAATACAACTTACAGGGGGTGTGAAGGACCTTTTCAAAGAGAACTACAAACCACTGCTCAAAGAAATAAGAGAGGACACAGAAACATGGAAAAACATTCCATGCTCATGGATAGGAAGAATCAATATTGTGAAAATGGCCACACTGCCCAAAGTATAGATTCAATACTATACCCATCAAGCTACCATTGATTTTCTTCACAGAATTAGAAAAAACTACTTTAAATTTCATATGGAAAAAGAGCCCATATAGTCAAGCACTCCTAACCAACAAGAACAAAGCTGGAGGCATCACGCTACCTAACTTCAAACTATACTACAAGGCTACAGTAGCCAAAACAGCATGATGCTGGTACCAAAACAGATATGTAAACCAATGGAACAGGACAGAGGCCTCAGAGATAATGCCACACATCTTCAACTGTATGATCTTTGACAAACCTGACAAAAACAAGCAATGGGGAAAGGGTTTTCTCTTTAATAAATGGTGTCGGGAAAACTGGCTAGCCATATGCAGAAAACTGAAACTGGACCCCTTCCTTATACCTTATATAAAAATTAACTCAAGATAAATTAAAGACTTAAATATAAGACCTAAAACCATAAAAACCCTAGAAGAAAACCTAGGCAGTAACAGTCCAGGACATAGGCATGGGCAAAGACTTCATGACTAAAACACCAAAAGCAATGGCAACAAAAGCCAAAATTGACAAATGGGAAGCTAATTAAACTAAAGAGCTTCTGCATGGCAAAAGAAACTATCATCAGAGTGAACAGGCAACCTACAGAATGGGGGGAAATTTTTGCAATCTATCTGACAAAGGGCTAATGTCCAGAATCTATGAAGAACTTAAACAAATTTTCAAGAAAAAAACAACCTCATTGAAAAGTGGGCAAATGATATGAACAGACACTTCTCAAAAGAAGACATGTAAATGGTCAACAAACATATGTGAAAAAGCTCATCGGCGGGGTGGGGTGTCTCATGCCTGTAATTCCAGCACTTTGGGAGGCCGAGGCGAGTGGATCACCCGTCTCAGTAGATCGAGACTGTCCTGGCCCACATGGTGAAACCCCGTCTCTACTAAAAATACAAAAAATAAAAATTAGCTGGGCGTGGTGGTGTACACCTATAGTCCCAGCTACTCGGGAGGCTGAGGCAGGAGAATTGCTTGAACCCAGGAGGTGGAGATTGCAGTGAGCCAAGATCGTGTCACTGCGCTACAGCCTGGGCGACAGTGCAAGACTCTGTTTCAAAAAAAGAAAAAAAGCTCATCATAACTGGTCATTAGAGCAATGCAAATCAAAACCACAATGAGATTCCATTTCCTGTTAGTAGGAATGGTGATCATTAAAAAGTCAGGAAACAACAGATGCTGGAGAGAATGTGGAGAAATAGGAACACTTTTACACTGTTGGTGGGAGTGTAAATTGGTTCAACCATTGTGGAAGACAGTGTGGCAATTCCTTGAGGATCTAGAACCAGAAATACTATTTGACCCAGCAATCTTATTACTGAGTATATACCCAAAGGATTATACATCATTTAAAGACATATTCACACGTATGTTTCTTGTGGAACTGTTCAAAATAGCAAAGACTTGGAACCAACCCAAAATGCTTATCACTGATAGACTGGATAAAGAAAATATGGCACATGTACACTATGAAATATTATCCAGCCAGAAAAAAAGGATGAGTTCATGTCCTTTGCAGGGACATGGATGAAGCTAGAAGGCATCATTCCCAGCAAACTAGCACAGGAACGGAAAACCAAACACTGTGTGTTCTCATAAGTGGGAGGTGAACAATGAGAACACATGGACACAGGGAGAGGAACACCACACACCAGGGCCTGCTGGCGGGTGAGGGACTAAAGAAGGGATAGCACTGGGAGAAATACCTAATGTAGATGATGGGTTGCTGGGTGCGGCAAATTACCTATGTAACTCAGGTGACTTGCTGTTTACCTATGTAACCTGTACGTTCCGCACATGTACCCCAGAACTTAAAGTATAATAATAAAATTAATTTTAAAAAGGGTTTGGAAACTGTTAAATATTTCAGAAACTGCCTCATTCTCAATTTTCCTGTTATCACTGACTTTTTTTTTGCTCTTGCTTTTTCTTTCCCTTACAACTGCAGTAGCCCCTGAAGCAGTGTCCTAAAATATGCTCTTTCTTCCCATTGTTGCCATTGTATCATTTTAAAAATAAGCAAATCAGATATTTTGCATGAACTCCCTTCCCAGATAAAAATTACCATGACCTGCTTGGTACCCCCAAAATACTATTTCACACTCACTTTTAATATATATCCATCTCTCCCTCTATTAAACTATAAGTTTTTTTATTATAGAGTTTGCATATCATTTACATGCATTTATAAACCTAATACATAGTAGGTGCCCTCTAAATGCACAGATAGTATAGTACAGTGGTTAAGAGTTCAGACTCTTGGTCAGACAGATCTGGGTACAAATTCTACTTCCAAAACATTGTAGCTATATGACATAAGAAGTGATTTAATCTCTGTGTGTCTGTTTTATCATCTCTAAAATTGATGTAATAGTAGTACTTGGCTTTCTAAAGTATTTGTGCAAATGTTGGCTATAATGATGACAGTACTTGGTATTGGATAGCAAATGAGGTATTTAGTCACTTTTTAATTCATAAGCTAAAATTCGAATATTGAGGACTTTGATGATCTGGCTTCTGCCTAAAACCCCTCTCTAACCTTACATCTAACAGCTCTCCCCCATATTTCACACCCTATAAACACTGCTGTATTAGTCCATTTTCACGCTGCTGATAAAGACAAATGTGAGACTGGGCAATTTACAAAAGAAAGCGGTTTAATGGACTCACAGTTCCACGTGACTAAGGAAACCTTACAATCATGGCAAAAGGTGAAAGGCAAGTCTCACATGGTGGCAGACAAGAGAAGAAAACTTGTGTAGGGAAACTCCCCCATACAAAATTAGCAGATCTCATGAGACACATTCACTGTCACAAGAATAGCACAGGAAAGACCTGCCCCCATCATTCTAATACCTTCTACTGGGTCCCTCCCACAACACGTGGGAATTGTGGGAGCTACAGTTTAAGATGTGGGTGGGGACACAGCCAAACCATGTCAACTGTGAATTTACGTTGCCTAAGTATATTGTACACTCACTTCCCTTTCAGTCCTTGTTGTGCTCTTTTCACTTGTAATGTTTTTCTCTACTTTTTCTCCCTGGCAAATTTTTTTAAGCCTCTAAGACTTCTAATATCACTCCCTAAAAGCAGCACTGTATGATCCCTTTTCTCCATACTCAAGCTTGATTAGATGCTTCTCCTGGGCCCCATAGAATCTTCTACATTCTTGTGTTTTATCTGTATATGTGTGAACCCCTTGAGAAAAGACTTTCAGCTCTGAAATCACAATAGTTAGCCCAATGCAGGTGGCAGGATTGAGTAAATGTTTATTGAACATATCAATACAGGGATAAATAAGTCTCTGATACAGATAAATGTTTGGATTTTTATTGTTAAGTAAATGTCATACTCTATACCGAGAATCAGCAAGTCCACCCACTGCTTGTTTTTGTAAAGTATTTTGGGGACACAGCCATATTTGTTTATTCATATGTTGTCTGTGACTGCTTTTGTGCTGTAATGTGAAAGTGGAGTCATTGTGTCAGAAACAGGGTGGCTCACAAAGCCCAAAATATTTATCCAGTGGCCTTTTACAGAAAAAGTTTCTTGACTCCTGCTCTTTGTAGGTAAATTACTTTCCTTTAAGTAATGTTTGGAAAGGACAGATAAGGTTAGCAAAATGGCTGTTTTCTCCCATGGCATATAAAAATGTGGCAGTGTTCCTTTTTCTTACATTTATTTTTTAAACAATCATATTTTGTTTAACACTCTGATATTTTTTAACTGAATAGGCTGGAGCAAGCTTTTATAAGATGACTGGCCTGGGTCCTTTGCCTCAAGCTCTTTATAATGGTGAACCTTTTAAGCATGAAGAGATGAATATTAAAGAACTAAAAACGGCTATTCTTCAAAGAATGATGGATGCATCTGTATATTTACAAAGAGAAGTTTTAATGGTGGGTAAGCATTTATAAGAAAATACATGATGAATAATATTTCTAAATGATACTTTTATTAAAAATTTATTTTAATGACGGTAGTTAATTTGGTAAAAATTTTCATTCTGATCATTTAGTAGTGATTTTTAAAATGATAATTTTAGCAGCTTATGCCATGCCACCCTCCCTGTGCAGAGATTGTGGTGCAGAGGGGTCCTTTATACTCCATATGCAGGCAGATCTTCAGGAATCTGGAACACCCACCCTCCTGGCTTAGGAGTTTAGGCTGCCCCCTCCCTGTGCAGAGAACTTGGAGCCAAGGAATTTCCCCAGCTCCATGCCTAGGCACACCTCTGGACACCTGATGGTTGCCCACTGGATTATCCCTCAGTGTTGGTGCTTGTGCCTGCCATTGGGTGACCTATAGGCAGGCCTCCTCAGTCTGGCCCTGCCCATCTTGCCCACCATGGCTGAGCAGGGAGCCCAGACCACTGTGCACACTACAGATCAGCCCATTGCCTTAGACAGCAGAGAGATTATCCCAGTAACAAAGACCAAGTGTATACCCTGCCATGTTGGCCTCAGCTGGCTTTTACTCATAAGGGCTATCTACTGGCTGGTAGGTCAAACCACGCAACCGAAAGTAAAATTGGCTGATAGAAATGCATAGGGCTATAGAAGCATCACTTAAGGAATTTCAAAATACCATTGAAGGCTTTATCAATAGACTGGACCAAGCAGGAGAAAGAATTTCAGAGCTTGAAAACTAGGCTTTTGAACTGACCCACTCAGGCAAAAATAAACCAAAAAGAATTTAGGCCAGGCATGGTGGTTCATGTCTGTAATCCCACCACTTTGAGAGGGCAATCCAAGAGGATTGCTTGAGCTGAGGAATTTGAGACCAGCCTGGGCAACATAGTGAAACCACTCTACAAAAAAACATAAAACTTAGCCAGCCATGGTGGTATGTACCTATAGTCCCAGCTACTTGAAAGGCTGAGGAATGAGGAAGACACCAGACAGATGGGTCTTGTTTTTTATCCAACTTGCCACACTGTGCTTTTTAGGTGAGGCATGTTGGCCATTTATATTCAAGACTAATATTGGTACGTGAGGTTTTACGCCTATCAGAAGTTCTTAGCTGGCTACTCTGCAATTTCTATCATATGTTACACACTGACAGTGTTAGATTATCAAGGCAGAAAACTAACAAAGAAATTCTGGACTTAAATGGACAATGACCAATTGGACCTAATAGACATCTACAGAACCTTCCACCCATCAGCCACAGAATACATACTCCAAAATCAACCATATGCTTGGCCATATAGCAAGTCTCAGTAAATTTTTAAAAATCAAAATCATACCAGTCATGGACAATGGTAGAGTACAAATAGAAATCAGAACTTGGAAGATCTCTGAAAACTACATGGTTACATAGAAATTAAACAACTTGCTCCTGAAATGACTTTTGGGTAAACAGTGCAATTAAGGCAGCAATAATATAAATTCAAATAAATGAAAATGAACCACATACCAAAATCTCTGGCATGCAGCAAAAGCAGTGTTAAGAGGAAAGTTTAACCACCTATTTCAAAAAGTTAGAACAGTCTCAGAATAATGACCTAACATCACACCTACAGGAATTAGGAAATCAAAACGAACTAAACTCAAAGCTAGCAGAACAAAATAAATAAAATCAGAGTAAAACTGAATAAAATTGATACCCAAAAATTTATACAATGAACAAATGAAACCAAAAGTTGGTTTTTGGAAAGGAAAAAACAAGATCAATAGACAACTAGCTAGATTAACAAAAAAAAAGGAGAAAATATCTAAATAAGTATAATCAGAAGCAACAAAGGAATACAGACAATCTACAGAAGACCTCTGTACACACAAACTGGAAAATCTAGAAGAAATGGATAAATTCCTGGTCTCCCAATATTGAATCGGGAAGAAACTGACACCCTGAACAGACTGATCTTGAGTTCCAAAATTGAATCAGTAATAAACCTTCCAACCAATAAAAGCCCTGGACCAGATTGATTCATATCTGAATTCTGCCAGATGTACAAAGAAGAGTTGTTATCAATTATACTTAAACTATTCCAAATAACCAAGGAGGAGTGATTGATGCCTCCCTAACTCATTCTGCAAAGCCCATATTATTCTGATACCAAAACCTGGCAAAGATACAATAAAAACAAAACAAAAAAAACTACAGGCTAGTATCACTGATTAACATAGAAGGAAAGATCCTCAACAAAATACCAGCAAACTGAATCCAGCAGCATACCAAAAAGTTTCACCGTGATCAAGTAGGCTTCACTCCTGGGGAAGGTTGGTTCAACATACACAAATCAGTAAATGTGATTCACCACATAAACAGAATTTAAAACAAAAAATGTGATCATCTTGATAGATGTTAAAAGTATTCAATAAAATCCAACATCCCTTCATAACAAAAACCCTCAACAAACTATGCATTGAAGGAACATACCTCAAATTAATAAGAACCATCTATGACAAACCCACAGCCAACATCATACTGAATAGGCAAAAGCTAGAAACATTCCTCTTGAGAACTGGAACAAGAGAAAGATGCCCAGTCTCACTACTATTCATCATAGTACTGAAAGTCCTAGTCAGAGCAGTCAGGCAAGAGCAACAAATAAAAGGCATCCAAATATTAAAAGAAGTCCAGTATCTTTCTTCACTGATGATATGATTCTATACCTAGAAAACCCTAAGGACTTCACCAGACAACTCCTGGAACTGATAAATGACTTCAGTAAAGTTTTAGGATACAAAATTAATGCACAAAAATCAATATCATTTCAATATGCCAATGACATTCAACCTGAGGGCCACATCAAGAATGCAGTACCATTTACAGTAGCCACACACGTGCACACAGGCACACACATGCACACACAATATGAAATAGGAATACAGCTAACTAAGGATGTGAAAGATCTCTGCAAGGAGAATTACTAAACACTGCTGAAAGTAATCATATTATACAAACAAATGCGGAAACATTCCATGCTCACAGATTGGAAGAATAAATATTGTTAACATAGGCATGCTGCCCAACACAATCTATAGATTTAATGCTATTCCTATCAAACTATCAGTCATTGTTCACAGAATTGGAAAAAACTATTCTAAAATACATTTGGAAGCAGAGAAGAGCCCAAATACCAAGGCAATCCAAAGCAAAAAGAACAAATCTTTAGGCATCACATTACCCGACTTCACCCTATACTACCAGGCTACAGTAACCAGAACAGGATGGTGCTGGCACAAAAATAGACACTAAGGGAATTCATTAGCACTAGACCAGCCTTACAAAAGCTCTTGGAACAGACTAATGGAACAGAATAAGCTGCAGACCTACAATCACCTGAGTTTTGACAAAGTAGACAAAAATTAGTGGGGAAAGGACCCTCTATTCAATAAGCGGTCCTGGGATAGCTGGTTAGCCATATGCAAACAAACAAAACTGAACCTCTACTCTTCACCACATTCAAAAATTAACACAAGATGGATTAAACATTTGAGTATAAGACTTAAAACTGTAAGAACTGTAGAAGAAAACCTAGGAAACACCATTCTGACATCAGCCTTGGGAAGAATGTATGGCTAAGATCTCAAAAGCAATTATATCGAAAACAAAAATTGACAAGTGGGACCTAATTAAAGAGCACAGCAAAGGAAACTCGCAACAGAGTAAACAGACAACCTACAGAATATACAGAAAGTATTCACAAACTATACCTCTGACAGTTCTAATATCCATAAGTAGCAAACAAATCAACAAGCAAAGAACAAATAACCCCATTAAAAAGTAGACAAATGACATTAGCAGACACTTGTCAAAAGAACACACACAGACAGCCAACAAGCATATGAAGAAATGTTCAACATTACTACTTCTTAGAGAAATAGAAATCAAAACCACAAAGAGATATCATCTCATACCAATTAGAATGGCTATTACTAAAAAGTTAAAAAGCAATGGATACTGGAGAGGCTGAGGAAAAAAGGGAATGCGTATATACTATTATTGGGGATGTAAATTAGGTCAGCCTCTTTGGAAAGCAGTCTAGAGATGTTTCAAAGAATTTAGAATAACCATTCAACCCAGCAATCTCATTACTGGGTACATCTCCAAAGGAAAAGAAATTGTTCTACCAAAAAGACACATATATGTTCATTGCAGCATTATTCACAAAAGCAAAGATGTGTAATCCACCTAGGTTCCCATCAGCAGTGGATTGGATAAAGAAAATGCAGTACCTATATACACCATGAGATACTACTACACAGCCATTTAAAAATGAAATGATGATCTTTGCAGCAACATAGACTCAGCTGGAGGCCAAGCAAACTAACACAGAAACAGGAAACCAAACACCACATGTTCTCACTTGTAAGTGGAAGCCATACATTGGGTACTCATGGACATAAAGATAGCAGCAATAGAAAGCTGGGACTTCCAGAGGGGAGAGGGAAGGAAAAAGTGGGGGAAGAGCTGAAAAATTATCTGGCACTAAGGTCACTAACTGGTTAATGGGATCAGTCATAACCCTAACATCAGCATTACATGATATACCCATGTTGTAACCAACCTGCACAGGTACCCTTGAATCTAAAAGAAAAGCTGAAAGTTTTCAAAAACCAATATTTAATTAAATTTATTTTAGGCACAGTTGCATCTAAAAATTGCTTAATTGGAAAAAAATCTAATTTTTACAAGAAAATATATTGTAATAATTCTAATTTGCATATTCTTTATTTTTGATTAAGTAATCTTTATATTATCTGCATAATTTTTAAAACATGGATATAAATTGCCTATATTATCTAAATAACATTTTTGTTATTTTAGGGCACATTCAATGATCACATGAATGCAATTGATTTTCTAATGGAAAAGAATAATGTTGTACCCCGTATAAATTCTTTGATTTTGCATACTAACCAGCAGTACCTTAATTTAATATCTACATCAGGTAAAATAATCCTATACTGTTCTACAAATGCTTATTGAACTGTGAATGCTTTATTTATATTTAACATTTAATTTGAAATTTTTCAGTAACTGCTGATATTGAAGATTTCTCTACTTTCTTTTTCTTGGATTCACAAGATAAGAGTGCTGTAATTGCAAAGAACATGTATTATTTAACCCCAGACGGTAATAAGCATATTTTATTTACCTGAATTCATTCCTAAAGTGATAAAAACTTGTAATCTTTATAAAGCAGTTGCATAATACATTTTAATAAGTTGCTATTCTTGAGTAGAGACCTAGGTTTCAATTTTAGAGTTTGTAAAATTTTTAGTATTTAAGATGTGCTGAGAAAACAATGCCTTCTATTCTAACTTTATCTTGGTTTTTTTGTTTTTTTTTTCTTTTGCCTTTTTTAAAGTAAAGTTTTCACCTTTTTTAGAAAAGAATAAAAACTTCTCAGTACTATGTAAACTATCTTATAATGTATAAATAAAAGTACAATTCCTGGATCAGAGAAGATAATAATTCTATATTCTGTTTAAATAACATGCGGATGTTTTGCTTGAGATAGGGGTTACAACCAGAAGACAGGAGACTGAGACAGAAACACGCTTGGAAGAAAGGATTTAGCCACACTGAGAAGTTGGCAGTAGGACCACAGATTTGTTAGGATACAGTTGACTATTCAGATGGATGAATATGATTAGAATTTGGTTGGTTTTTGTTTTGCTTTGTTTGGCCTGCTTTGCAGAAATAAAAACAATAGCCAATGAGTAAAAGGTTAAAGAAGGTTGATTTTGGTTTCAGTAGAGAAGTGGTAATTTTCTAACAGTGAGAGTGCCATAAACAGATGGAATGAACTATGTTGTAAGGGACAAATTTTTATATGGGAGAGAGATTTAAAGCAAAGGCCACACAACCAGTTTTTGTAAATGCTGTAGATTAAATCCAAGTTTCTACCAGATGGCTCCTGGATTACTTTCTAACAGATTCCATGATTCTATGTTCATAAAGGAGTCTGGCTACATTAAATGCAACAAATGATAAAATATATAATCAACAATATTAACAAACATAATATAAGACATAATATAAATAATAATAAAATATATAATAGTCCCCTTTTATGGCAGGCTACATCCCCTAACGTGAAGGCAAAAAGACATAGAGAAGTAAGAAAAAATAGAAACATATTTATCCCAGATCTGTGTTATATTTCACAAATATCTCGGGGAGGGGGGAACAAACTAAACACACACACACACATTTAAAAAAATTAAGGAATAAGTTAACCTGTAATTTATGCTCTTTAGTTAACTCTCTTGCAATTTAAAAGAATGTTGGCACTGAGAATCAAATTTTCTCTTTGTATTTCTGTAAATGTGTAAAGAAATAATAGTTTTGAGAAATTACTTAGTGCTTTTGAAATATTTCTCAATATACAAGCTGTGATGGTGAAAAGGCTGTCATTAAAAAGGCACAGAAATTCTTTAGCTTTCTTCTTTAAAAAGAATGTTACTCTCTTACCCATAAGTTGTTTCTGAAGATTGCAAGTGAAATCAAGGCTGTCCTTTTTGTTATTTTTTTATCTTTCACTAGCCAAAGCTAGTTTTTATATGGTTAGATCACACTGACTATGATAATAACTGTAGTTTCAAATCTATTCAGAAGTAAGTTTTAGGTATAGCAAAATTTTTTATAATTATTTTAAATTGGTAGCCTGGTTGTAAGGACCAGTTTTTCTGTAGGTTTTCTTGATGGCCAGACAAGTATCATTTCAGGTGTTATCTGCTTAATGCTGGATGAAATTAAACCCATTTAATTGAGACTTCAGAATATTGATGGAACAAGATGATATAAATTTGACCATGTTCATGATAGCTAAACAGTTTGAAATAAATGAACTGTAAGCTAATAAAATATTGCTGTTTTCTGTATCTACTAATAAGCTTGATTGTTCTGGTTTTACATACATGTGGGATATAAAAAACAAATTTCTTTTTGTTACAAATGTAGCTAGAGGCAGATTTGCTTACCAATGCTGGGAGCTTTATATAAGCTTATATAAAGAATTACCCTTGTAGCATTTTTATATGTAATTTTATATGTATTTATATGTATATATGTGTACATGCATACACACATCCATACATAAAATTTTAGCAATCTTTGCTTATTTTTAGAAATATTATTTTGATATATTTGTTATTATTTTTATGTGTTAACTATAAATGTTCCCCTGGTTTTTGTTTTATTTTTAAAAAGAGTTAATTTGACTAAACTGTTTGAAACTTTCAGATGACAGTACAATTTCTGCAGTCACTCTGTGGATTATTGCTGATTTTGATAAGCCTTCTGGGAGAAAACTTCTTTTTAATGCATTAAAGCACATGGTGAGTACCTAGATATTCTTACTAATAATTTTAATTTATTGCAATTTAAGGAAAGCAATATGAAGAACATGCATTAAATATTTTTTCCTCTCCATGTTAATGTTTTAATTAAATAGACTAAGGCAGGAATTTAAATTTAGTCTTCATGTAAGACAGGTAACTTTGCTCAGGAAAAGAAAAATCTACCTGTTTGCTGTGACTCATGACATATATTCTCTGGAGCCCTTGTGATCAGACATACACATATCTCATGTTGATTACAAGTAGGATATTAAAACAAAGTAAATAACTCTAGAACCTGTCACTACTTCAGTGACCCGAAATCCACTATTTACCAACAGTAACTAGTAATAGCAATTTTTGGTCACATAATTAAACAGCACTTTCTTTCCCTCATTATTTAAGAACAACTAAGTGAATTTATCTCACTGAAGAGTATTGTAAGCCTTAAGTCAACATTAAATTTCTTGTTATTAATTATAAACCAGTGTACTTCAAAAGAATACATTTCTGTATATAAAAGTACTCTTTCACAACCTTCTGTATTTCTAACTTAATGGATAAGTTTATCTGGATAAAAACATACTTAAGAAACATAAACCAAAATATTTTATGAAATTGTTTTTATATTAGCTAATTATAAATGTATTCCCATATAACAAATTACCCGTTGGTGGCTTAAAACAATGAACATTTGTCTTAGCAGTTTCTGAGGTTCAAGAATTTAGGAGCAACTTAGCTGAGGAGTTCTAGCTTAGATTCTTTTATGAGGATATAGCTAAGATGTTGGTTATAATTGCAGTGATCTGAAGCCTTCACTGGAGCCAGGTGGACAAGCTTCTAAGATGATTCACTTACATGCCACGGCAGGAGTCCTCAGTATTGCACTGGCTTTTGCAGAGTGCTTCATTCTATTGCCACGTAGACCTGTTTTTGGTATTACTTAAGTGCCCTCACAACATGGCACCTTCCTTTTTCCATAACAAGTGCTAAAGAGATAAAGACTGAGCCACAATGTCACAATCTAGCCTCAAAAGTTACACACAGTATTTTCTGTTTGTTAAGCAAATAATTTCTGTTCAGTATGAGAGGTGCTATACAGGGCATGAATACCAGGAGATGGGGATCGTTCGGGCCATCTTGGAGACTATAGCCACCACATTAAGAATAAATAATGCATCTTAAATGAAATATTTTTATTTCATATTAGACCATGTCAGAATGCATTTGGGCTTTATTCCATAGCCTGCAGATCAGAAAATTTCAAAAAATGGCTGTTTGGGATTTATTGCATCTATTGGGAGAAATTAACTTTCTCCTGCTGTTTCTTCTCAGAAAGTTCTGGGTGTGTTTGTTCTTTGAGAGGCTCACAAACTGCCTTTCTTCAGTGGTTACAATGTATCTAGCAGATAACTTTCTCTTGATTTAGTTGCTGCTTCTGTAACTTTCAAAAGTACTATGTTTTTGGTAACTATTTATTTCTTATAGGATGGATGATTATTTTTATTGTCCCAAAGTTTTTCAAAACCGAAATATCTTTAAAATAACAAATTAAAAACACTATAATATCTGAAGTAGAATTATGAGGACAAGAAACAATTTTGGATCCCAAAATGCTACCTGTTGGAATTATAAAAATCAAAAAAAGATAACCTTTGTCTAATGAAATCATTTCACTGTAGTTTTTCTTTCACCCAAGTATTTTACCTTTTTTTCTGGTTATTTAATATCACATGTTCCTTGTACAAAATCAGAAGTACATAAAATCAAAGATTAACAAGGAAGAAAAAGTAATCACCCATAAAACCTCTTTGAATGTTTAGGCGTATTTCCTTCCTGTTTTTTTTTATATTCATTTTTACATGGTTTAGATTACCACTTACAATTTTATCAAAATTGTTTTCCTATGTCAAACAATGTGTCAAAAAGAATTCAAATGGATACATGATAAACTGTCTACATGGAAATATCTAGTTACATTGAAAATTCAGGTGGTTTTGGTTTTTGCTACTGTTGATATTCATACAGTCATAAATAATTTTGAATGTGTAGCTTATCTGTTATTTTTTATTATCTCTTAGAATAGTTTATTAAAAATGACCCCATTTCTACTAAAAATACCAAATTAGCCAGACATGGTAGCACGTGCCTGTAATCCCAGCTACTGGGGAGGCTGAGGCAGGAGAATCCCTTGAACCCAGGAGGCAGAAGTTGCAGTGAGCCAAGATGGCACCATTGCACTCCAGCCTGGGTGACAGAGTGAGTCTGCATCTCAAAAAAAAAAAAAAAAGAAAAATGCATTTACTGAGCCCAGGCATAGTGGCTCATGCCTGTAATCCCACCTAATCCCAAGGCTAAGAAGGGAAGATTGCATGAGGCCAGGAGTTCAAGCTTAGTCTGGGCAACACTCCAAGACTCTGTCTCTAAAATAAATTTTTTTCAAACAATTAGCCATATGTGATGGTGTATGCCTGTAGTCCCCGCTATTAGAGAGTCTGAGGTGGGGAGGATCACTTGATCCCAGGAGTTTGAGACTGCAGTGAGCTATGATCACACCACTGCACTCTAGCCTGGGCAGTAGAGTGAGACCCCATCAATCAGTCAATCAATCAGTCAGTCAATAAAAGAATGTACTGAATATAAAGGTTGTTAACATTTTTAGACTCCTGATAATTTTTAAGAAATGTCTTTCCAAATGGTTATGAATTTTCGTAGTTTTTGAGAGGCTCTGTCACATCACAGTGTTGAAAGCCTTGATTTTTGTTATACCTAAATATTTCTGCCAATTTAAAAAAACAAGATGGTTTCTTTTAAAATTATTATTATCGTTATTATTATTTTTTGAGACAGGGTCTCACTCTGTCATCCAGGCAGCAGTACAGTGGTGTGATCTCAGCTTACCACTGTACCCACCTCCTGGGTGGCTTGGGACTATAGGTGCATACCATCATGCCCAGCTAATTTTTGTGTTTTTTTGTAGAGACGGGGGTTTTGCCTTGTCACCCAGGTGGTGTCAGACTCCTGAGCTCAAGTGATCTACTTGCCTCTGCTTCCCAAAGTGCTGAGATTACAGGTGTGAACCACTGTGCCTGGCCAAAAATGGCTTCTTATTTGTATTTATTTGACAAGTAGTGATAGGGAACATTTTTCTTTTAGTGTGACTTTATATTTATTTATTTTTAGCTTAGATGCAGGGGGCACATGTGGAGATTTGTTACGTGGGCATATTGTGTGATGCTGAGATTTGAGCTTCTAATGATACTGTTGCCCAAGTAGCAAACATAGTATCTGATAGGTAGTTTTTCAACTCTTGTGGCCCCCTTTCTCCGTCCCTAACCCCTTGTGGGGTCCCCAGTGTCTATTCACATATTTGTGTCCCTGAGTATCCATTGTTTAGCTCCCACATAAGTGAGAACTGCAGCATTTGATTTTCTGGTTTTGTGTTAATTCACTTAGAATAATGGCTTCCAGCTGAGCCCATGTTGCTGCAGAGTACACGATCTCCTTCTGTCAATCAATGTGTACATTGATTTCAATCTGCACATATTGTGTAGTATTCCATGGTGTGTATGAGTCACATTTTCTTTATCCACTCCACCACTGATGGACACCTAGGTTGATTGCATGTCTTTGCCATTGTGATAAACATGAGTGCAGGTGTTTTTTTTTTGGTAGAATGATTTATTTTTCTTTGGACATATACCCAGCAAGGGAATTGTTGGGTCAAATGGTAATTCTGTTTTTAGTTCTCTGAGAAATCTCCAAACTGCTTTTCACAGTGGCTGAACTAATTTTCATTCCCACTGTCTTTAGGCATTCCCTTTTTCTCTGCAACCTCACGAGTATCTGTTATTTTTTGACTTTTGAACAATAGCAATTCTGACTAGTGTGAGATAGTATCTCATTGTGGTTTTGATTTGCATCTCTCTGATGACTAGTGGTATTGAGCATTTTTTCATGTTTGTTGGCTGCTTGTATGTTGTCTTCTTAGAAGCGTCTGTGTCCTTTGCTTACTCTATAATGGGGTTATTTGTTTTTGTCCTCTTGATTTATTTATGGAACATTTTTCTATGTTTGTTAGCCAGTTATGTTTCTTTTTTGAATAAGCATTTTCCTGTAACTTTGTCTGGTGCTCCTGGGGAAAAAAATTTTACAGTGTGACTCTCTACCCGCTAGTCGTCCTTCCAAGTTGGAGAGGCATGCTAACACTGCTTCCTATCTGATATCTAGAAAACAGCAACAACAAAAACACTGTCACCACTGTTTCTTTCAACTTTTATTTTAACTTTAAGAGTCCATGTGCAGGATGTTCAGGTTTGTTACATAGGTAAATGTATGCCGTGGTGATTTGCTGCACAGATCATCCCATTGCTAGATATTAAGCCCTGCATCCCTTAGCTCTTCTTCCTGGTGCTCTCCCTCCCCACACCCCACACCCCACACCCCCAATGGGCCCCAGTGTATGTTGTTTCTGCCATTTTGTCCATGTGTTCTCATCATTCAGCTCCCTCTTACAAATGAGAATATGTGATGTTTAGTTTTCTGTTCTTGAGTTAGTTTGCTGAGGATAATGGCCTCCAACTACATGTCCCTGCAAAGGACATGATTTCATTTCATTTTATGGATGCATAGTATTCCCTGCTATTATGTACCACATTTTCTTTATCCAGTCTATCATTGATGGGCATTTAGGTTGATTCCATGTTTTTGCTATTGTGAATAGTGCTGCAGTGAACATACAACGTGCATGTATCCTTATAATATTTAACGGAATGATTTATATTCCTTTGGGTATATACCCAGTAATGGGATTGCTGGGCCAAATGGTAATTTTGTTTTCAGTTCTTTGAGAAATCTTCAAACTGCTTTTCACAGTGGCTGACCTAATTTTTATTCCCCCTGTGTTTAAGCATTCTCTTTTCTCTGCAACCTCGCCAGCATCTGTTCTTTTTTGGCTTTTTAGTAATGGCCATTCTGACTGGCATGAGATGTTATCTCAT